AAAAAAAAAAATAGGAGAATGTGGCCTGGGCTGGGGCCCACACTAGCCTGGTAGGTGAGGGCTGCAGGCTCATTTATTCTCAAGTATGTGTTTCTTTCTCATAAAAGTACAATGTAGAGGGGGAAAAAAAATGAAAACACTAAATTCATAGAGGAGAGGCCTCCGAGCCAGATGGGTTACATAAGGCTGGAGGCGTGGAGGCAAGTAGAGGACACAGCTCTGGTGAGGAGCCATGGCTCCTTGGGGCCTGCAGAGAGTTCCCATGTGGGAACGGGGGCCTGGCATCACCAGATCTTCAGATTTGTTAAGAGACGCCAACAATCTGGCTTTCTATGGGAAATCTCCCAATTGTTAAATGTTGGTAACTAATTAACAACAACAACAACAACAAAACCACTACAGGGGAAGCAAAATGCTCNCTCCCAATTGTTAAATGTTGGTAACTAATTAACAACAACAACAACAACAACAAAACCACTACAGGGGAAGCAAAATGCTCCTGTGGGCTCCATTTGTGAGCTGGTGGATTGCAACCCTGGATCCAGAGGGTTCTATGCTAAGGGTTTGAGAGTGTCCACTGAAATCTATTATGATCGTCTCATGATCCCAACCCAGGCTGGGCTCTGGGGCATTATGAGGGCCTGGGGTATGGCCCCTGCCCTCAAGCCTGGATCATAGCTGCCCTCAAACTGGAGATAGTTCAAATCGGTACATGCCTGGAGCCAACTTAACAAAACAAAAGCAACTAACCAAAGCTCAGAGTGCTGTAGAGCCCAGAGGAGAGGTGGTCAGGGAACGAGGGCCATGTGGGGAGGCTTCTTGGGCATTCTAGGACTTCTGATGTTTCTGGGAGGGAGGGTAAGCCTAGTGCAACCAGAGAGGGCTCAGGCCAAGGAGGAAAACAAGATAGCCAGGGAAGGGGTTTGGAGTAGGTCTGAAAGGCTTTGAATACAGGTTCAGACTTTCTAAAATCTGGCCCGGCTGGTGTGGTTCAGTGGTCGAGCATTGACCCATGAACCAGGAGATCACTCACTGTTCCATCCATATCCGGTCAGGGCACATGCCTGGGTTGCAGGCTTGATCCCCAGTAGGGGGCATGCACGAGGCAATCGATTGATGATCCTCTCTCATCATTGATGTTTCTTTATTTTTAAATATATATCTTTATTGATTTCAGAGAGAGGAAGAGAGAGAGATAGAAACATCAGTGACGAAAGAGAGTCATTGATTGGCTGCCTCCTGCACGCCCCATGCTGGGGATTGAGCCTGCAACCCGGGCATGTGCCCTGGTCGGGAATTGAACCTCGATCTCCTGGATCCTAGGTGGATGCTGAACCGCTGAGNGTGCCCTGACCGGGAATTGAACCTCGATCTCCTGGATCCTAGGTGGATGCTGAACCACTGAANCCTTCCTCTCTCTGAAATCAATAAAAATATATTTAAAAATAAAATAATATCTGAATTCTGGTCCAAGGTTTAATGCTATGAGCCCCAGCGTCACTCGATGGACATCTGGAGACGTTCTCGCTGCTTTCTAGCAGTCCAGAAACTTTCCTCTCCACTGTCACGGCCACTGCTTATTCCCACCTGGAATGGAAGCTCCAGGAGGGCAAGGACACGCCAGTTTTGCTCACTGAGGTCTCCCGCGTGCCTGAAATGATGTCTGGAACGTAATGCTCAACAAATATTTACTAGCTGATTACTATGAGCCTGGTGTTGCTGTAGGCCTGGGCGTCGGACAACTCCTATGAACAAGTCTTATGACAGGCTCTGTGGAGCTCATGTTCTTGTGTGGAACTCGACAATAAACAAACAAACAAGCCAATGAGTAAGGTGATTCCAGAGAGCGGGGCCTGAGTGTGGCTTGTCCCAGTACACTGCAGTGGCCTGTTTCTTTGTGTCTCCTTCTGGACTCAGACAGCTGACTGAGGGGACAGGGCCGGGGCCTGTCTGGTTCCTTGTTTCATTCCTAGCCCCTAAGGCTCCTGTCTGACAAACAGGGAGTAGTAAAAAAGAAAAATGTTTTTGCTGGCTGCACTGAATGAACGAACACGGGCTGCTGGAGATTCTAGCCCGCATACACCTGTGCCCTTCGGCGTCCACAGAACTCATTATTACCTACCCCGGAGTAATTGCTGATAAGCCTGAGTGTGAATTTCATTGTAAATTGAGAGGTAGCAGGGCAGTGGCTAATAACTCCAGGGATAATCTTAATTAATGACCTGATGACTCTAATTAATTGCATCATATCCGGAGGCTCTCTTTGGAATTCTGGGGTTAACTAGTGTCTGGCAGCTTTAGAGGCTGGGAGGAAGGAGGTGCTAGGATCTCCCTTCCACCGCCTCCTTGCTGGGTGAGCTTTGGCAAGTTACTCACAGCTCTGAGCCTCAGTTTCCTCACCTGGAAGACGGGGCCACATGCAGGGCTGTTGCCAGGTCAGTGAGATGTTGTCCTTCAGCCTAGTAAACCTTAATGCCTGCAGCTGCTAGGGTCATGGTTACTGAGGCTGTTGCGGGAGGCCAGGGGCCAAGGCCACCGAGGGACTGGAGGGCTCCCTGCCTGTGGAGACTGGGTGGGGTCATCACATAGCTGGGCCTGCCCCTGGGGCCAACCCGGGCATCGCTCCCTGGTCTGGGAAACACCTGGCAAGCTCCTGAGAGCGAGGAAGGCGCAGCGAGCAGCCGGCGTGTGGGGGACACCTGGGGGTGGGATGGTGTGCGGGAGGTCCTGGCGGGAGAACCCGGGGAAGTGGGAGGGGCGCTCGAGTGAAGGATTGAGGGGGGTCCCTGTGTGGCCCGCGGCAAAGCCCCGCCCACTGCAGGCCTCAGTTTCCCCAACTGTGTGGCCAGAGTTTGGGTCGGGTGGATCGGAGCAGGGCCAGCGGGCGGGCCGGAGCCCTCC